CAAAATATCACTCGTTCGTCACACAGAATAACAAAATCACTGTATGGCACTGTGGCACTGTATGTGTGAATGTGTGGCAGTCAGTCGGGGGCTATAAAGTAAACAGCAGGACGCAGGATGTAGCACATACGCCACGTTGTCAGCGGCAGTGATTAAAGTCTCTGTGGATAAACTTCCAGGCTCTGGACGGATAAGCAGATAAGACTTTTGGCTTTGCCGCTGTCAGAATGAATAGCTCTTGTTGAAATACTTTCTCCAGTAGAAAATTATTATGGCCGAATAAACTGTGAAACATAGAATAAATCCCGCACAGCAGGCAAAGACAGCCTTTAAATTTATTAAACTCCAGACCCGCAGCACAGTAAACAAAAATATTATAAATAATATGTAGTATATATGTATAGATATCTTATATCTATACAATTCCCTAATGCCATTGCACAAACTTCGCTGCGAAGGGCAAACAGCTTTCGCAGTGTAATGGTCTGTTAAGGGTTTTTGGGCTGTGATGAGGAGGTCTCGTACTTGTGACCTCCTCGAGTGCTGTTGGTCGGAATTAATTTCGGAATTGCTTCAGAGATGGGTTGAAAGTGCAGGATCTTTTAATGTTTCTCCATCTCTTGAAAGTTTCAGCCACGAATCGCGAGTTAAATGACAACATTCAACCAAAGAAGACTCACATTTAGCTCTTGCTAATTTACGACCCTATTTGAAAACTCAATCAGAAGTCTGAGGGGGCGAAAGATATTAACGATGATGGGGAACTTTGACAGTATTAGACTCATCTTTGATTGGAAATTTCGCTGAGCAGATGGCGCTTTAACAGCTCTTGCATGGTACAGTATACAGTATACAAAATTCCATCAAATATTAATGCCCAAGTATGCAATAAATAAATACGAGTATGAACAAAAAGCGAACGCATTAACGACTGACAATCGAGTCAGCGATGAGTCAGAAATGAAAAAGATTATTCGCATTGCTTGCTGATTCAATCAATTATGGCGAAAGCATTGCATTTCTCTTTGGACTTAACGATTCCTGTTGGAAAATGTAGAAGGAGAGCAAAAATAACTCTTTCAAAGGGAATTTTTTAATTAAATGAAGGCGTTTAAGGAATGGATGGAAAATCTTGTACATTTTTTCTACCAAACTTTATCTCTCTCACATGCGACCAATTGTGGTGTATCCTCTTCCAAAGATGCAAACTGCAAATTATCTAAGTCAAGACCACTAAGGATGCCTGGCATCCTGTCCGGACTTTGACTTGTGTTTGAGTTGGCTGAAAAAGAATTAAAAATACCTGCTAACGTTTCTTAGCAAATTTAATCTCTTCTTGTATTATTTAGTTTACTTTACGCGCCATGCGAGTCGTATGAGCAATGCAATCAGAATTTTGCTGTGCAGTTAACTAATTCCCATTTTATACCCGACGGTGTCAATTGGTAAGTTGCTGCCAGTGGTGGCAGTAGGGTGGGTGCTGCTGCCGGATACTTTTTCGATGCTGTTTTATTAGTGGCCAAGTTAATGGATGTCAATTAGCTTAATTGTTTTCCTACTATTTTTTCTTTATTTCTTCCACCCTAATTGCACTCTCTCCTGTTCTTACTGGTGTCCATTGAAGGCCCTCATTGATTAGTTGTGCAATTGTTTTTTAGCTATCAATGCATTTGTTTCATTGTACTCCATGTATTCGTTGTATTAGTTTTTAATGGCCATCAAATTCAAAAGCTTTTGAGTTATTATTGTTAGGACCAGAAACCCCAATGTATGCTGGGATGTATGCTGATGTACGCTGAGACTATCGAGGAAAATTGGCTGGGAAAATCCTATGCTATTTTTCGATTTTCAATTGTTTCCGGTATGGGGTTCACTTCATGCACTCTGGCTTCATATGTTCATAGGTTTTAAGTTCCCCATTTGTCGCCTAAATGCATGTGAAGTTACTTAAAGAGCAATATAACATGGAATTTATGTAATTACTTTTTTACAGCTTAACCATAAAGTTGCATCCAATGGCATCTCCACCAAAGAAAACTACTTAGATTTTCTTCCTTTAAGACGAAAATGCACATGTGCTGCTATGACGGAAACAAAGGACAAAGAAGATTTTACTAAAATTGATGATGCTGTGCTTGAGTTTCTGTTTGGCAGATGACGCCTGAAAAAATGCCATTAATCTTTATACACTTTTTGAGAGGGTAAAAACAAATGAAACCAGTTGACTGATAGGCACACACAATACTATTCCAAGCATCACTTAAATTTAATAATATTTAGCTGCTTAAATCAAAAATAAATCTTCTTTATAGTATGTCCAGAGTATGTCCAATGTAATCCCACAATCACTAGAAAATTAAACATTCTGCAAATTATTGAGCGTCTCATATTAATATTTAGAGCCGAGTGCTTGTACCTACCCCACACTGACTTTCATATTTTGTGTTGGGTTTTATGCTGTTTTTCAGCCAAATGCCAGAGAATAGTAAATTGCATTTAATGCAAATTTCCCAGCACCGCAGGCGGACTCTGAACTGCGGACTCAATCCAATTTAATTTTCCGCCAGACAAAATTTTGTGACAAGAACCTCTCTGTGGCATGTTTTGCCAACTTGTTATTTACTTGTTTTGATTTAATTTTCATTTTAAAAGAAATTAATTTCCGGCATTGCGGATTATAAATATGACTTAATGTGGCTTCTTCCTGATGATTCCTGTGCCACAGTTTAGTATCCCCAAGAATATGGATACATTTAAGGTAAACCAGTCCCCTGTGCTCCTGCGCCTCAGGCGTATAGTTTCATTGATGGCAACAATGCATTGCAATTTCCTGGCAGAAACACAATATTTTATTGCCAAATTCCCTGATTAATTGCGACAAGGGTGGAATCTTGTGCAGCTTCCTGTTTCCTGCTGCCGAAAGGATTTAAAACGAATCAATCGAATTGCATTACTAATCACATATTCTAGGACACAACGTGTGCCAGCCGGTAACTTATATCAATATGCATGAGGCATCTGTGGCACTCTGCTGTGGAAAAGGAGCGGAAGGCGGCTTCGTTTCGTGTGGCAGCCAGGTCTTATGACTGAATTCATTTAGAAAGCCACATCAAAGGAGTGATTAGCATTGGCCAGGGCTAATTGTGAATCCAACTAAAGTTGCACAACCTTTTGTACGTTTCCACTAAGAAATTTACACACCAAAAGGCAACATTTTATATGAGAAAGTCTGGAAAGCTTATTGCAAGTAATTGAAATTAATCCTTAGTTTATATGCTTGATTAGAGAGTTGCTGGCAACAATATCTTACTCTGACTTAATAAGAATCTCTTTGCTCTCTTCTTATTGTCCCAGGAAAAAAGTCTCGAAGTCGTCCCGAAGCTAATTATAAAGTGTTCCCGCCCAAAGGGAAAACTAACACTTGTAACTAACAAGGCCTCACTTATAGCAGAGTGAAAGTAGAGCCGTATACAACAAAAAGAAAGTACACATTTATAAATGGAAGACATTTAGAGAATACTTTGAGTTGTGCTGGGAGAACTTTCCCACTTAAATGCCATTTCCATGATAACCACTCTCTTATGCAACTTTATTTGGGACCGCAAAACACTTCCCTTTGACCGAAATAGCCAGCAACCATTTAGACAAAACATTTTTGGTCATTTGGGGCTCTCTTGGACATTGAGCCAGTTGGCCAATAAAAGTGAATGCAAAAAATCGCAAAGAGTCTCCAGTCTAGTCGGTACAATTGTTCCAGCTGTGGGATATTTCGCAGCTTGAGTTGGTATAAATAAATTTTGTGAGCACTTTCGTCTCTTTATGAGAGTAGTATGAAAGAACGAGCTGAAATTATTGTTAATGAGATACAGAAACATATGTATTTATTATAGGACAGGATCTAAATAAATATTAATTAATAAACAGTTCAAATAATACCATTATCATATGTTCAGAAAATTTGTTTGCTCGTCAATGTAAATGCTAAAAACCTACAAGCAGTGGGGTAATGGGGAGTGGTAAATATTTTTATAACCAAGAAAATGTAACACAATTTAAAGAAATTCTAAATTTGTAAGAATTTAATAGGAAAAACTATTTTTATCAACTTTAACCCTTAGATTCAGTCACCACTGGCTCTTCTATTTTATGCTGATTATATTATATTATACATATGATTAAATGACAACCTCTACATTTACCATTTTAATTCCGAAAACTTTAACATAATCATTAAAAAAATAATAATATCATTTGTTGGTCAATTATTATTATTTTATTTATTTGGTACGACAAATTTTTTTGTGTCCGCAAATCCAATTTAATTAAAAATCCATTATGCAAATACAATTGTGTCAGCATTTGATTCCAGTCCAAGCTCCTTCATAAATATTTATGTGCCGACAGGAGAAAAACCGCAAGACTAACCAAAATAGAATTTTTTGGCAACCATTTGTGGATGGGCGAAATGTTTCGCTAGAGTAATTTAGGATTTCCTTATTTACTCAGGACGGGGTTGAGTTCTTTGTGGGACTCTGAGCCAAACATTTAAAAATGAATTGCGAAATATATGGAGAAACAGAATCGGAGTCCATGGAATCATGTGCCTTGTTCTATGACATCGCTCTAACCCGACAGCTGCATAGGCAGCTCTGTGAGGAAATTCAGAGGGAGTGACTGACATGGACTTCTGTTGAACAAACTAAAGTCTGTTGCATATTCGCACTGAAATTAGATATTCAGTGTTTGGCAGCTCCCAGCACGCAGACAAGCCCAAGAAAAAAGTGGATCGGACATTCATAGCGGAAACATCAACAGAGGATAGTTAAGTTCCGGAATGAACAGTCGAACATTATTTAGGACAGATTGGAGCAGAAGAAGTCATGGTTTAAATATCTCAGGCACTCTACATTTATAGGAAACGATGTGTTTTTTTTTTTAATTTTTGTGTGGGTTTTAGTTTTCAAACATGATTTCTATATATTTTACGTAGTTCTATTATTTTGTAGTTACATGTTACTTGTTTATTTGTAATTTTACACTTTTTTGTTTGTGCAATTTCTGCACGCATTTGATACCACACTTTTTCATAATCTTTTACCTCTTTTGAAATGACAAAATCAAAAAAATCCAAATCAAAAAGTGAGACTTTAATAAAGTCTTCAGATCGATCCCATGCAGTTGCGAAAGGAAATAAAAAAGGGCTGACGAAGAAAAGCTCTGGGAAAACCATACCTGGGACATCCAATTCGGTTTTTAGCACAAGAAACTCCGAAGCGAATCCCTCATATCATGAAAAGACTCTAAGTATTCAGAAATACTCGCATGAATCTATTCACAGAGTTAGAAGCAAGCAACACCCCAAGAGCAGTCATCTAATCGTACCTCAAAACCATCGTAAAGTTACAAAAAAGAGAAGCCACCAGCATGCAAACGATTCCAATCTATATTCAGACAAAGTAATATCTTTTGTGAAATCGTCTGAGAATGTACAAATTATAGACGACAGAGAAGACGCACAAGATGAAATCAGTCAAGTTTCTTTAATTTCCAACCTCGAAAACGGCTTTTTTATTGATGCAAATCTTTCCAAGACTTTTGACGATCACCACGAACACCACGAACACCACGAACACCCAAAGACTTCGTCCCATAAAAAGGCATCGCAAGATTCGATCCTCAAAAAGTCCAAACTGTCGCAGGAGTCAGTCCGCATCCCTCTGATCCAGGCGACGGAGTCCTTTCACATAAACAAGCTTAAGCGACGCCCTAAACCGGTGCCCGAAATTCAATCGGAAACTCGAGATGATAGTATTATCTCCGTCCGCACAGAAAATGAACCCAGTGTGTTGGTTGCAGAGAATACCAGCCAAACAAGTGATAACGAAGACGTGGAAGTGAATAATAATATGAAATTCCTCAGCCAGCTCCGTGACTTTCCCAACTGGAATGAACACTATAAGCAAGCGTTGCTTGATCTTACAGAAGAGGTAGAAGAGGACAAGCCAGAGGATATATCGGTAAAACCTGGGGATCCGTTGGCTGCCACCTCGACAGACTTGAACCTCGCCAAGGAAGATACTGAGACAGACCAGGACGGCTTGTATGAGGCCCAGCCCTCTCAACTGAAGTTATGTGGACACAGTCTGGCGGAAGTGTCCACCTCAGAGATCGAAGAAAGTGATTCTTTTGATGATGCTGATGATGCTGATGATGCTGATGATGATGATGATGATTTGAACTTGTCTGATCAGTTTCCCGAGGAATACCAAGCTCCATTCAAAAATACGAATTTCGTCCTAGATTCAGATGAAGTAGATGTCGTCGTGAATAAACTTGGCCCTTTTGAGTTGAACGGAATGGTCTACGACTTTCTTGACGAGATCATTTGCAAAGTCGTTGGCATAGCCGCCAAACCTGAACGTATACTAAGCCAAATACTGGACAAAGATAAGCTCATGGATACCCTGCTGGACGAAGCAAATGAGCATCGTATGGAAAAATTTATACATCAAAATTTATCAAAGCGGATTACCGATATCCTGGTGCGCCAATGCAAGTACTCTCTAGTAACGCCGAGTAGAAGTTCAAATATGAATGAGAACAATTACAGTCGCTGTATATCCGCATTAAATGAGTTAGACTATTGGCTCAAGCGGGAGAAACTCTCTATTAAAACAGCCCGAAAGGAGGTAAAACGACTTGCCGTCGAGGAGAACACAATGAGGACTGAAGACGATAACCTGTGGCAGCGGCTGGAGGACCTTATAAATAATACTGTACTTAATCGCCCTAATGCTTCAGATAATTTGAAAATGGTAAGTTCACATTTTACAAACTCATTTACTGATAACCTTAAACCTTCTACAAGAACCTACACAGTTTACTGGAAATATAATCAGAAGGCTGAAAAACATGCGCGATGAGTTGTCTGAGACACGTCTGAATTTGATCCTGAAGCAGCATACATATTCGCAAATCAAAACGGTAAGACATATCCTTGAACAGTGTATGGAAGATCATTAATTATATTCTTTTCAGAAAATTGACAAAATGGACATCATTGCGGAGAACCTAACCATGCATAAATATATGTCAGTCGAAGCGCAGGTTGAGAACTTGAACAGGACATTGGAGTGTAAGTAATCCCTCCGATTAACAGAATTTTTCTTAAATTTTACCATTTTCAGCGAGAAACTTAAGCGTTATAAAGACGTCTAACCTCATCAATAGCAAAATCCATACAGTGTCCCATCTTAGGTGTCGTCGAAAAACATTGAGCCGGAAGCTTAGGGCGGCCAAAGGCGTACTTGAGTCTCTGAGGAGCAAATTCAAGGCCTTGAGGTTCAAGGCATATCGGTGCAACAAAATGCACAACAGGCTATTCAGTGAACTCGGAGATGTCCGGCACCAAGGTGGTATTATGTTATATCCCCTGCTCATAACGGACTATGACCACACTATAGACGACTTGGCCAGAAAACGATCTGAGATTGAAGCTTTAAGGGCGCAGCATGACAAACTAATTCGGAGAATCACGCCGATCGAAGAGGCTCGTAGAATTTCACAAGAAAATCGCAACCAAGCTCGCTATCAACTTCGCACTTCCACTCTTGTTGAAAGAATGGAAAAGCGTTGAGAGTCTATTTCAAACTGTTTGTAAAACAAGAGAACCAATGTCATGAAATAGAAAATACCTTGTATTTCCTCTTAATTATCTCGTCTCTCTTTTTGAAGAATGTGTATCTTTTGTACTGAAAGTACAGTGGCAAAGGAGCCTCGGCAAAATGATGCCGTCCACTTAGTGCAGTTCTTAGGGATACTCGGCCTTGAGATAAAACTATCAGCATTTACTGTGATAAAAAGCCAAACCACAATGTGTCTCTATTTTGACAGAGATCCAATATCGCCTGGGAACTTGTCTGTCTTTTTGTGGCTGTAGTGATTTCCATTTTTTTTTTGTAGAAGGAAAGAATCGCAATAAGGCCAAAGCATGTCGTGGGTAAGGCTGTCTTCTCCGCTGTCTATTCCTTGGCCCGAAAACAATCAGAAAAATCAATTGTCGATTGATTGTTTTTCTGTCTTTGGCCTCGTGTGTTCTGCTTTTGTTTGCTTATGCGGTGGTGGGATACTGCTGGATGTAAATATGTAAAACTCCAGAATAAAACGTTGTTAGTTCAACTGATGTTTCCTTAAATTCCCAGACTTGTCAGTCATTATTTCAAAATTAACACAACAACTCATTTATCTTATTCGAAAGTTTTTATTTGAATTTTTTCTTTTGCAATGGTTCTCGTGGTGCTTGTCAAACTGGGCGTGGTAGCAGGCGTTGCCCTTGCCACACAGCAGATGGGAATTTGGGAGAGCCCGGAGCACTCGGCTGTGATTTTGGAGAACGCCAAAGAACATCTCAGGCCTTATGCAAAGGACCTGAAGGACCGGATCTGCTGCTGGAAATGCCAGGACAAATGCAAAGAGGAATTGGAGCCGAAGCCCTGGCGAGAGTCCTTCGTGGACTCTTGGAATGACACCATCAAGAAAGCCTTCCTCATCCTGAATCAGGTTCCTACCTACTATCATCACTTTGCGGAGGATATGGAGACAGCTGTAAGCGATTTGGTCAAGGAAAAGAACCCAAAGATAGATCAAAAGCAAAAGGCAAATATTAATCAGAATCATACCAGTTCCTCAAAGATGGACAAAATCACAGTAAAATCCAATTGAACACTATTCTCTTTGACATTGAACTTAGTTATGCGCTGGCCATGCTAACAAACTTTTGGCCAAATCAAATAAATTTCTCAACAAAAAGAAAGTCAACTTTTACAATTTTTGGAAATGTGTGGGGACTAAATTTTGCAAACAATTTTTATTTTCTGTAAGTGAAACTCTAAGAGTTTCAGTTATAATTAGTAAACCAATAAGCAAGTGTTCAAATTAAATTCTAGTTACCAAATATTTTAGTATAATTTCAATTGCTTAAATTCGAAATGAACTGTGTTGGATTTCAGTTCACAAATTGCGTGGCAGTGCCGAGTGCAACAAAGTGTTCAATTTATTAAGCCCTTGCCTGTTCTTGTGCACTAGAAGCAAGACCAGTTCGCACCACCATATGAAATCGATTTATCTTAGCCACTGCACACGTCCGACATGTCGTATATGTAACAAGTGTGGCACATAAATTTCCAAGGTTGCAGGAATCCATGCAACGTCTTGGCCTGGCCACAAAACTAAATAAAACAATAGGGACAAAAGTGCTTCCCGTAAAGTTTCGAGCGTTTTTAGCAGATATGTCCCAGGATTTGATTTATATGAAAACATAGCAAGTTTGCGATACCATTTACAAAGTAACATACAGCAATTTGTTCGCATGAACAAAATCATTTAGTAAGAGCTGTAGGTAGACACAGATCTAGCAATTTGATAGTGCTAAGAACCATTTGAAAGACTGAAAGATAGAAATAACTATACAAATCATATGGGATTAAATATTTTAATCTTTATGTTTATAACCCGAGGAGGTCTGGAGCAATATACTTAAGGAATCAACGAGCTTTGCTTTAAAAATGGTCAGATAAATACTGCAGAACCACAAGACCTTCACTTAAGATTAAGCCAACATTCGAAATAGACTTTATATAAGGCTACCGAAAATTTTCCTATTCCATCCTAAATATTCATTAAACTGTTTTTGAATTTCCGTTGAGTTTTCCTGGCTTTGCCGTCAGGCTAAAAGCACTTAACAAACTTTCACCTGCACTCTATCTCCATCTGTATCGCTATCTGTTTCTCACTCTTTCTCCACTCACTATGAGAAGTTTTTAGCGAACTAAAATTTCCATTCTCATTTGGATCATTGGGGAAATACGGGGCCAACAACTTTGTCCGGAAAAACGGTGAAAAGTTTTTGAGTGGCAGCTTAAATTAAATATACCCTATGAGGGATTTTTGGGCCTTTCTGCTGGATCATTTTAGTATAAGCAATTATATTTATATTTGCTATATATTTCGCTCGTATCCCAGTGTGACCAAAGTTGGCAAAGTGAATGCCCTACTGTTACACTGTTTTGTTGGTTTACAAACAGAAGTCTGTTCAATTTTGTATTAAATAAAAAACAAAGGTTTTATATGTGGGCGCTGTGGAGTTAGAGGAACACAATGCACACCGCAATACTGTATAAATCCCAGCCTGTTGGACAGAAATGCAGGCAACATGTTTTTATAATGTAAATGAAAAATGGACCCTGCCACGTTTCGCTGTGGCACATTCCTTTTTTATACCCGTACTAGAAGAGTTATATATTATTAGTATTTCTTGTAAAAGCTGATGTGTGTAACGCAGAGAAGGAAACGTTTCCGACCCCATAAAGTAAATATATATTCTTGATCAGCAGCAATAGCTGAGTCGATATAGCCATATCTGTCCGTCCGTCCGTCTGTCTTCTTTGAGCAACGAAATTTTATTTCCAGACTAATGTGATATCACACTGTTACAAGTTTATTTCAAAAGTAGAATCGCGTCCACAGAAGCGACTCACAACGTTTCTTCTTGTTTTATTCTGTGAGAGAGAGAGAGAGAGAGGGAGAAAGATGTGTAGCGCCTGTTGCGCTACACGGAGCAGTGGCCACCCTGCACAGTGGGCGAAATGGCACTTCATGGCAGAATCTGCTAAAGCTTTTGTGTCATTTAAATTATTTGTGAATTATCAATTAAGTATTTATAGAATTTTTCTGTAAAGAAAAGAATTATATATAAAATGCATAAAATTATATTTGATATTTATTTTTTCCAGTTAAAATATAGACATCACGCGCATAAAACCAGTGCTGCCAGTTTAGCTTGTTTCAGGCCAGATCTATCATTTTAAAAAGTAGTCCAGCTATTAAAATTTGCAAGTAGCTTATATATATTCAGAAGATAAATTTAGCTTGTTTTAGCTTAAGTGTGAAATTCAAATTTTCTTGACTTTTTGTTACATAAAAAGTTACATTTGCCGTTACTGCCGCAACGCGAACACCAAGATATTTCATATGATTATGGCAATGTATGATAGAAATACACGCTATAATAAATCTCTATAAAATCTTCTCCACTGACACTCATCGAGTGCGTAGGGGGCTTGCCAACTAATATGTTAATAATAATAATTATATGCAGAAACAATTTCCCCATATTTTTAAACTGTCTTTAGATGACGAGGATGATCCCGAGCTGAAATTGGCAATAACCGAAATACACCGTTATTTTTCAAATGCTATAAATACTGACATGGATATTATTTAATATTGGGAAATAAAAAATTCAGTTAAACTCGCCTATATCAACTGGAAAACAGTGTGCATTGCGTGCCTGCTACACAAGTCTTAGTGGAAAGAGCATTTTCTTCCCTAAATTGTTGAAATCGGACTAATGGTGAACTTTATTTTCAAAATCGATCAAAACCTTAATGTTCCCTAAATTAAATAAATGGAAACACCAATTATATTTTCATTTTTTTAAATGTTAAGCCAGCGAATCTTTTCATATTGCATCATAACCCAAAAATGGGGTCGATAATGATACCCTATATTTCATCCATTACACATGTGATATCTCAAAATAAATCGGTTAATAGTTATACAACAGAAAGGGTAAGATTACTAAAAAAAAAAATTGCAATAAGTTTTATAATACAATTTTTTTTTTTATAATTTAAAATTATATTAGATTAAAAATAAAATTTAAAATTATTATGTGTAGTGAAAATGAGCTATAAACTTTCTTCACCGATCCAAAAAAAATCAATGTTTAGCATTTTATGCCGCGCAAACAGGCAAATATGCACCGGAATCATAGTTGAACTTTGACTGTTTTTTTTAAAGCTTCTAGAAATTTTAGCACCATGTACTTATGCAGATCAAGATTTTCCTTTCATATGCAGTTTATTTCATAAAGATATCCTCTGTCGTTCAGAAGGTATTACTTTAGCAAGCCGCTTGTCGATTGTCCCACCGTTCGTTCTCTCCCGTGAAAATTTACAGCGCCATCTGGTGATACTAAAATGCAACACATAATGTTACATGATACTTGACCAATAGAGGGTGATGCAACCTTATTTCCGATAGTGCTAGCTCCCAAATAAAGTGAACTTGCGCCCCCTTTCGGAAATTAAGTTACCTTTGATGAGTTTTTCGGTTCTGTACTTTGCTAAATAAATCTCAATAAAAAGCTTCTTAAAGGTTTAAAACTTAAATTACTAATTCTGCCCCACTGACGTAGCGGCTTCATATTCTGCTCGCTTGCCTCAGCGGCAGAGAAGCATTCGTGTGCAGTATGCGGAAACTTCAACCTTTCAATTCGGATACTTTGTGGCATTGTATCTAAAAAGGGGCTTCCCCCTTTTGGGGTCGACGTGGACTGCACTTAAATCCTCGCTATGGCGGCTCTCAGGCCTAGCTGCCTCTGCTCACTTGGTCCTAAGCGGACTTTGCACAGATTATGGCATTAATTCGATCAGTTGCCGATACATTTATTGGTGGTTTTAATTGAGGTCTAACAGAACTACGCGTACGAGTATATAATATCAAAAATTCGCTTTGTTTACAAAATATATAAAGAAAACCGACTGATAGAGATTAGAAGATACGTATATGCATGAGAAGGCACATCACATCCCGTGTCCGATGGATAGACTGGCAATAAATTAGTGAAAGATTTTCGGTTTGCCAACGACACAAAGTCCTGGGACTCTTAGTGCAGACAGTAGGCCACCAGGAGGGTCATCAGCGTCGAGACGAGGCTGAAGTGGCTGAGGGACTTGTCGGCCACATTGTGGGCATCCTTCAGACCCGACTCTGCGGAAAGTCGAGCAGATGTGAGGCCCGGCATCTTCATGATATCCGGCTGTCCGCCCGGCGTAAGCGGTGCCAATGGCACAGATCCTTCGGGCACGGTGAAGGGCGTCGTCGGCTGGAATGGTGCAAGATGAGCGGCGTCGGGCGACTGGGTAACTCCGGCTGCCACATTGGAAACGGAAGTCGGGGCAGGTACAGCGCCCTCGACAGCAGGGGCCGTTCCATTGGCGGGAGCTGCTTCCGGCGGGGGTGCTGGATAGCAGGCGATCTTCTCTACTTCAATGGTCTTGGTGGCATCGTTTGGATCTGGCTCGGGCACCTTCACAGGCACACAGACGATTCCCCCGGCCGCTGGTGGAGCAGCATTCGGATCAGCGGGAGCTGCAGGCACATTTGGATCAGCTGCAGCTGCGGGTTGTGCTCCAGGGGCGGGCACAGCAGCAGCAGCAGGTGTTACGCCGGGAATTGCTTGTGCTGGTGGTGCTGCGGCCAAAGGAGCTATCGGAGAAAGAGGCGCCAATGGTGCGCTTCCCGGTGCCTGTGGGGCAGGAGCAAATGAAGCCATTGGCTGCGCGGGATAAGCAGCTGGTTGCTGTGCCCCTCCCGCGTTGATAACCGTTGTGCCCGATCCCACATCGCTGGTGGTCACGGATCCCGGCGGTCCGTTGTTGATAATGATGATCTTGTCGTCGCCACCGCCCACTCCGCCGCCCCCACCGCCGCCGCCAGAGTACGAAGGGGCATGCTCCACGACTCTCGTCTGAGTGGGTGTCAGGGCGTGACCCAGAATGGCTCCACCCAGGGCGCCAGCAATGAGACCAGTGCCTGCAAGGAGAGCAAATGTTGTGTCAGTTGTCTCAGTGGATGATTCTACGGTTCAGAGAGTAATCTGTAAACTCACCCAACCCAAAGCCTGATCCAGACTTCTGTGGCGCCTGCGGATAGTAGGTGGCACCTGCGGGAAGGGCTCCTCCTGCGGGCAGGAAGGTGGCACCCGGCGGCAGACCGCCGCCCATAGGTGCCTGCGGATAGTAGGTGGCTCCCTGGGGAATCTGTCCCGGACTGTGGTACGTGGCTCCTGCAGGATATTGCCCTGCCGGGTGATAGCTGGCGCCCGCTGGCACCTGTCCTGCTGGATAATAGGTTGCTCCATGTGGAACCTGCCCGGCCGGGTGATACGATGCCCCCGCTGGCACGTGTCCTGCCGGGTGATAGCTGGCGCCCGCTGGCACTTGTCCGGCCGGATAGTAGGTGGCTCCCTGTGGCAGCTGTCCCTGCTGGCGCGGGTAGCTGGACTGCACGTTGTGCGCACTGCTGGCCGAGATGGGAGTGTGGTATCCGCTGCCAAAGCCGCCGCCCGTGGAGTTCATTCTGGGTCTGTAATTCGATGCGGGTGTGTAGTGGGGACTGGCTGCTCCAGCTCCCGCTCCAGCTCCCACTCCAGCTGTTGCTCCGGCAGCTGGCCGGGAGTTAGTGTTGTAGCTGCTGCTGGGGCTGTTGCTGTGGCTGTTGGTGGCCGCCGAGTAGCTCGGCGGTGCTGCATTCGGCTTGTAGGCGGGATTGTATGCGGGCGGACGCTCGTGGATGTTGGTGTGGGCTCCTCCGGCCGGATTGCTGGCGGAGTAGGCAGGCGGCGGGCCCTGTGCCTTGGGAACATTCCAGCCAATCGGTGCCGAGCTGTGACTGCTCTGGGATTGTCCCATGCTCACTTTACTGGGCTGCGAGTGCGTCCCGCCGCCATAGCTCAGACGGCTGATGTCCGCGTGCGAGTACGAGGGACTCGCCTGCGAATGCGACGTGGAAGTGCGTCGCGGCGAAGAGCTGCTTGAACTGGAGCTTCGGCTCTTGCTGCCGCCGCCGCCAAACCAGCGCTTGGCCTGGACATCCTCTGCGATTAGAGCCAGGAGCAGCAGGACTACAACCAGGCTGCCACTGCCACTCAGTCGCTTCAGTGGCGTATGCGACATGCTGCTGCTGCAAGAGATCATCAACACTCAATTACTCACAATTAGTCCAATTGGGGTTTGCTTTTTACTCGTGTGGATGTGAGTTGATATGCAAAGCAGACTAAGGGATCTCTGAGCTTATTGTAGATCAGCCATAGAGTATCTCAGGCTTCGACCTCACACCTAGCCTTCTGTTCTGGTTCGGTTTCATTTGCTTGCCAGCATCACCCCATTTTCATTTCTATTGTCAGTCATCATCTGCCCCGCGAGGCCTGAGTTTAGTTTATGTTTATGTAAAAAAACAATTGATTCAATTAACGCTAAATATAAACCATAAAAAATGTTAAGCGAGCTCGGGCCTAGCCTCCATCATCTCTGTCCCTAATTGATATCCCATATTTGCGGCTCCGTCTTCCGATCGGGGCAGAACAGGGTCGAACACTGACGTAATGTCACGCCCTGATTGCCAGACTTGGAGGAGGATGAGGCTTGGACTTCCCCCTGGCACCACTTCCGAATTAGAAGCGCGTTTTGCGTGTCTTGGGCGCCCTCTTAATGATAATTAACTTGCTGATTTTGGTCGGCTTGTCGCGTGGCTACACTCGATTGACTTTTAATTTCGGCTGAGTTCCAGGCGCACCCTGTCTGAGTTTTGGGACTGTCAGAAGGCACACAAATTGTGGAGGTCAAGTCTTTGGTTACAAGGCAAATGGTTGGTTCCTCTATGCCGGAGTTCTATAGGTTAAAGTGCTACTCTTAAGTGTTATAATACATACAATTCAAATGCTGATAAGCAGGGAAAAACCGACGCAAAGGTTGCTTTATTTTTGACGCGCAGATTTAATAGACCGCAACGAATGCTATTATTTTATATACTGTATAAATAAATAAAGGTTGTTTACCCAATAAATGATTAACACTTAGCTGAAACGTATTTAAGCGCCAACTAAGAATGGATTATGAGTAGTGAAATGGGAGTGGCAGTGGCAGTGTTTGCGTGACTTCAAACTCTGCTTGTAATTTGCTAAAGAAAACTCCTTAGAACGCTGCCCTTTTAAAAATCGATTGACACTGTCGGTGTGAGGTGGAACAGACGCAATTAATAGTACAGGTAGAAAAACAGAGAGAACTTGGCAGTCCCCAATCTTTGTACTCCTTAAAACAGGCCTCAGCAAACAACGTATGTGATTCACTCTGTAGCTAAGAACTCCAATTACACAATTTGTTACTGTATTGAAACAAAACAAACAAAAACAATACGATCGAGAGAGCTTTATGCAAATAAACAGCTCAGCAAATACAGATGAGATGCCGACTCAATGCACTGGCCGCAAACCAGAAAAGTAAAGACCACAACTTGTTAGCCATGACTCCATGAGTCACTTCGGTCGACTGCAGCGCGTGCGCAGCCGTGACGTCAAACGGGAAATCGTTCGCTGTTTACACTGTCACTGTATTTATTGTCTGTATTTCAGAGAATTGTAAACATGTTGAGGCTGCTGCCCACTAGGGAATGACAATTCTAATTAATGCGAGATTCGGTCTAGAAATTGGCAGCTTATCGCTGCTGAGTTCAAATGTTAATCCGATTGTGGATTAGCCTCTGAAATTCCAAAGAAATACACCAAGTACTTCATAATGTGATTCATTGATTGGGTGAGTCTTTGCTCATTATTTAAGAGTTATACAATAAATAGTCGAAAAACTGCTGCCGAATCGGGAACCATATACACAATGCAAAAGATATAAAAATAAACTTAATTGGGCGGCAAAAGCCGGTTACCAGAAACGAAGTTTGAGTGGTATACTCTTGAAAACTATATTCGGTTGGATTGCTTTACTTTGCTTTCTCTATTTATGCAGCTGTGGATAAATAAATATACACAATATTTAGGCGAAACCTAATATTTGGCTTATAGAAACTGTTTATAGTGTGTATGGGCAGCTGTTTCAACATGCAAACTATTTGGAAATGATAATGTACTCTTTCAGCACTTTGCCAATTAAATTAATAATAATAATATTAAAATTATTATAGATTTTCTTACGTAAAGCTTCTTGGCAAACAAATGCTATAAAATCGAATATATTATTTACAAGAATTCCCATGGCATGCTAGTATGCATATTACTTTCCCAACGCTTCGACTAGATACTAGTTCCAGAGACTAAGGTCATCTATAATGTATTTCCCTCTGCTCTAAGCTTACCCGTGGACCGCCATAGAACGTCATTGAAACAAGGGAATTTCCTAATTTTAGTTCGATACAAAAATAGATTCTGGATTTTCTTTGTTCGGCTGCAGATGGCATCTATATTAAAATCAAAATCAAATCAAAAAAATGGACAGACTAGATACCCATCTGCTGATATCTTCAGTGGAGAAATATTTGAAAAATTTTGCTGCATAATTGGAACTGGAAGGGGTTTTTAAATCCACTTTGAACTGTCTTTTGGGCTATGTCCGACATGTGTTTGGTGTTTAGCTTGTAAATTGTTTTTCTTTTATCCGTGACTCGACCTTGGATTCGTACAAATATAAACAAAAGCCCCACCACAATACTAGTGGCTTAATTAATGCAATTGGTGTCTCCACTTTATAGCCAATAAACATAAATTTAGCACAATTGTTTTGAGCAAAGTATTTTGCATATTTTGGTGCTCGAATTTGGAGCTGGAATTTTGTACTGCAGTTGGATAAACCACAACACTGTTGGGGATTAGTTTTGGATATGATAAAACCGTGTGTACTGTACGACAATTTGTTAAATATTTACTTTGTTTGGTGGTTTATTTAGTTGTGCTTTTTATTTGCTGGTCGGTTGCTGCCGCGTGCGATTCGTGCTTTTGGTTCGTGCAAAGTTTCTCGAACAACTGAAATGCGGTTGAAAAATTATACGCGTTTTTGCTTCACAGCAGAGCAGAGCAGAGCGGAGAGGAGCGCTGACCGCGAGAGCGAGGCCCCAACTTGTTGGGGCTTTTGTCGCCGCTATTCGAGTATTTGTCATCTCTGGGGTCTCTCCCGCTGCTCCCTCTTTTTGTGTGTGTGTGTGTGCTTTATGTTTTATTTTATTTTAGTTTTTTTTTTACTGTTTACTTCTGGAGGGTAGTCGCCCTGGATGGGGACTTCTGGTATCTCTGTCAGTGGTGCTTCTGTTCTGCTTCCCTCTACAATCTCATTCACATGGGATCATTGAATCTGACTCATTGATAAGCTCGGGGTATAGGCGGAGCTAAGATGTAAATGCATAATTCTCTAACCCGAAATAGAATCCCTCTGTTAAAGCCAAAGTGCCCGTAATTATGTGAATGATACCGCGAAGTGCATCTGACCGAAGCTTCTTCTCAATGTCTCTCATCATTCTCCCATCCTCCGCTACTTGTTTTCATTTGCTTCATCGCCCGACGTTTGGGGCTCTGTGGCTGTTGTCTCTGCCGTTGTAGCTGTTGGTGTTGTTGTGGCTGTTTGGTGGATTTAATGAGCGCCAAGTGAGCTTCATTGCTGTTGTTGGATCATCGTACACATCCACACACGCACACACGCACACAATTCCACACAAAAGCTTTTTGTGTAGGTGCTTGGAGCCCGTGTCGCTGCTTCGACTTGAACGCCCGTCGCGTCGCGTCCTATCACATCACATCACCGTCCGTTTTCAGCGTCAACGTCGGCGTCAAAGTTTACAACAGCGCCGCCGTCTCCAAGGTAAATTCATGAGAAGGTAAGGCAGATAACCGCTCTCCGGGCTGCCTAGTTTTTCTCCTCCCGCCTGCTCTACCTTCGTTTAAATACGCCTTGGCTTTCGCTTTGATTTTTGTTTTGCCTGTGCGCTGAGGCGTTGCATATTGTTGTTCTTTGGGGCAGTCGTGCCTGTGTGGGGGTGCGGCACCGTGTCCATCCACAGCTGTCAGAATTTTGATGGAGCTCAAAGGGGCCCATGACGTGGGTTCGTGTACTGCTGCGCCACTCTCGCCTGCAGTTGCGTGCTTATGATGGTAATAGTATTACAGGATTCCCCTATCGACCTTTAAGCCTTTTTTTAATGGAATTAGTGCGGGCTTTATGGTACGTGGCACGTAAGTGGGAGATTGGGTGAAGTAGGGTTCAAAAGAAACGATTCGGAATTCTGAGAATTTTTTCTTAATATATTTACATGTGTAAGTTAACGTACCCGTTCCCATTGAACAATTTGATTTCCCACAGATTGAATCAGAAATTAAACTTTGTTTTTATTTTTTATTTTTATTTTTTAATTTATTTTTTCCTCATAGAAATATTTATTTTATCCTTTTTCGGCCATAGATGTTCTCAGCTTTCTGCAGACGCTGCAATTTTAAATTCCACAATTTCCCAACTGGATGACTCAATCCAACCCGATCCGATACAATCCAACCCTATTGTTTATAAAGGCTTCTCGACGGGGGAATCAAAGGGGTTTCATGAGAATAAATTTATTATTTTTCTTTTATTTATTTATTTACTTATTTTCTAGTGAGACAAGAATCTTTTCTTATAAATGAATGCACTAGTCACAAAACATAATACGTAAAAGTAAAATTATCAATTGTAAAAACCTGAGCACTCATACTTTGTGAAATAAAGTAGAAAATTAATGTACATGCATATATACATACATACGTACACATATTGACGTATTACCGAAAAAGTACACTGAAAGAAAAAAGGCATAGAAAAAATAACTACAATCATATTTGAATTTAAAATGCTATTTTTAAATACAAACATAGTAAAATTTAATAGAATTCACTTTGATTCAAATATAAATGTATTAAAAATGATTTTTTAATACGGTCATATTTAATCTAAATACAAAAAACACTTCAAAATAACTAAAATATATTAAATTTGTAGTCCAATATGTTTCATATTTAAATTGAATATTATTATGACTTGATTTCAAAATTTTGGTTTTAAAATCACAGGGAAAAACTTTTTATTTTAAATATTCCATATTAAATGAAATCAAATATTTTTTGTATTTATTTTAACTATGTTTATGTCCCTCGAATTTTCAACTGGTTCCAGCTGCTGCCGCCTTGAATACACAGTAAAATGATCTTAGCGCAGGGGCATAATCACAACCAATGCAGTTCTACTCATGCTGCGATTATTTCTAGTTGAAAACTTTAACCAATTCCCACCATGAGGACTTGAAATGTAATTTGCGTGCGCAAAATAGCAACCAATTAGTTTAAAAAGGAATACTCAATATAAATATGAAACATATTAGATTTAAATATTAAACATATTAAATTTAAATATGACTTTAACTATTAAATTTAAATATGAAATATATTAAATTTAAATATTTCTATATTAATATCAAAATTTAAGGGAAAAATATTCAATTTTAATACAACCACTCTTGGATGAAAATCAATGGCATAAATATTAAAATCTAAGTGAAAATATTAAAATTGCAGGGCTTTTTTCTATCGGTGTAATATATGTCACTTACAGGAGAAGGTTCTTTTAAATTACTCAGCTTAGAATGGTCAAATTTTTTTAGGTTATATGGTTTTAGCTACGGAAACGAATGACAACTTCAACAAACAATGACCCCATTGTTCCAAATAAACTATGATCTATGTATGGGCTATGTTTTTATGGGCTTAGACGTAACAAGTGCGACATATGATAACTGAAAAAATTATTTATTGTACGAAATAATTCCATAGCCGCATTTATCACCCAGCTGCTGATCAATGAATATCAAAACTTACACCAGCGGCGCAAGAAATATGAAATAAACTGTTCATTATAAACTATTAGAACCCTTACCAAACGGACGGCTTCTTTGCACGCGATAGAATAAATTGATACAACTGAAATATACATTGGAGAAATGGAACCCTACCGTCTTTATCATGGGACCTTATCTGTGGGACCGCCCTGAGACGCCCTCCTGCTAAAACATAAACAAAATCGAAAAAAACACGTACAAGGGTGCCACAGAAATCCCTATAGATTTTGACTCCAGAGATTTGACATGTTATGTTGCGGTATGGGGAAAACGTAGTGTTCTTGGTGATAACTCGAATAGAACTAAATTTTATTGCTCTCTCAAGCGTTCTTTTGCGCTTACATATATTGGGGTGTGAGAGTGTTCGTGTGTGTGTGGTACATTTGAAATGGCTGATGCAATATGATGCTTATGTTGCTAATATATAAAATATAAAATCAAATCAACCGAAAAACCCGGATCGGGATCTCTAGACATTTAATTTTTCGAACACAACAGGGAGAAAGAAGCACCGTGTTGTAGTCTTTCAAAACTAATCTTTTGAAATGTTGGTCTTCGTCTATTTCATTGTTTTTCATTAGGGATCTGAGAAATAACTTTTGCATTCGGTCACTCTTCGATCATAATTTTTGAGCAATTTCAAAACAACAAACAACAACCTGACAAACTTTCTTTTCAATGTACATTTTTTTGCATTATCAATTCCACAAATATTAAACAGAAATGACAATTGCCGGGTTACTAGCCAGATATTATCTTAGAAGGAGGCAAGTACAAGAAGAAAGAGTGGAGCACATCTGATTTCCCTTTGGTTTTGTAAACAAATGCTTTCGCTATAACTATCGCGTGCACAAGAAGGTTTTTATGATGATTTTGAATTCGATTAAGTAAGGCATCCCATGATCATGCATTGATCCATTCAAAAAGTAATTAGAGGGAAAATAATATGGCCCTTTCCAGACAATCCGTGTGCAAATTAATTTGGATTATACTTCCGCATCTCCCAAATGTTGAATAATAAGACTTTTTCAAAGAATCCACAAAGAGTGAACCTGTCTATGGCAAAGGAAAGCTGTGAGACCAGTACGGAAAACAGAGGCAAACGAAGAGGTTCAAGGGAATGTGCTGTAATATATGTATATGGAGTGAGGTTCTTTGAGTGTTGTTTATTAAAGGGTTATTTATTCAATTAGTGAGTTCTTTCTTTACAAAGTGATGAGGTTGACGTTGGGCAACAAGCCTTATTATAATGGTTCTCACGGTTAATTTAAGCACGAGTCTCGCTCTGCGTCAGACGAATTCGATTTTGGACTGTGCTGGTGACCGCCGATGGACTGCACAATATGGCAATTGGTCTTTAGAGTGGTGCCAAAATATATTAAGCCAACAGTGCAGGAATGCATTATTCATGCATTGGTACTAAGAGAACTAAGAGAAGAGCTCTCTCTAATGCTAAGGAAAAAGTGTGAGAATATTAATTTCATTACTAAATAGTATTTATTTGAAATAAAACTTAAATCTTAGCTTAGGGATACTAAATCAAAGCGTCAACAGCGACACTGGCAGCTCGGCCAGCCACATAGCTGGCCACCTCAAAAGGCTCGCTGGCTTCGCTGCCTTCAGTATTACCCTCTGAGGCACCATCAGCAGCCTCAGCACCTCCTCCGATATCCCCCGCAACAATGGGCGGGTCGGTTGTGGTAGTACTGTCCTGTTCGGGGCCCTCCATTGGGTCTCCCAACTCTGTATGGTTGGGTGTCGGGAAGCAGACCACTCGCTCCACTTCTCGCATCGAATCGGGCTGCTCGGGATCCGTTTCGTTGAGTGTAATGGGGAAGCAAATGATGGTTCCTGGCGGGGGCAGACCAGTACCCGTACCCGTACCCGCACCCTCGACACCTGAAGACTCCTCGCTGGAGGCGGCACTGGAGCTCTCGTCGTCCTCCTCGGTGAGGGGATTCTCCGGAGCTATTGCAGCGCCAGCTTCCTCTGAAATGGTGGTCTCGTTGGGGGCAGCTCCCTCCGGCTGTCCATTGTTGATGATGATGATCTGGCGACCATTGCCCTGGGCTGTTTGATCCTCTCCCTCTCGATTTCTGTGATAGACATTATGACGGTGGCCAAAGAGCATGTTGTTCATCATGTGTCCAGCCAGCATTCCCGTAAGGAGGTCGCCAGTTCCTGGTGGATAATGAAATTATTACCATGCGGTAGGCTATAGCTATGCCCCCCATTTCCTGGACTTACCCAATCCTCGGTTCATGGACATGGGTGGCTGCGCATAGTACACGGCGCCCGCTGGCAAGGACTGTGCATTGGAGTAGTATGTGCCCTGTCCCGGATGCGAGGGATAGCTGTATCCCGCTGGCATCTGCTGGCGCGGATAGCTGGGTATCTGCTGCTTTGGCGGCAGCATTGCCTTCGGTGGGGCCGCCGGTGGTGGTGGGGGCTTTGGCACAGACATTGCCGTGTGCACTGGTGATCCGCTCACCACACGGCGACCGCCACCCGACGACGAGGGCTTCTTGTACTTGCGCCACCCCCCAAAGAGACCTCCAAATGAGCCTCCGCCTCGACCACGTCCACCGCGTGCTTCGCTGGGATGCAGCACGGTGACGGCAATGAGCAGCAGACAGAGCACTGAACAACAGGATCTCATGATGAGCACGTATCAATCTCGACTGAACGCGACGATAGGCGCGGACGAACTGGAGGCACTGCGGGATCGCTACGCTGCGTATATCCATGGGAAGTGATAAATGCGTGGGACGTGGCTCTACAGAACAGGGAAGGGGCATATCAGACCAATGGAAGATACTTGCTGGATGATAGAATTATTATATAATAAATATGTGCCGCAAAATAAAACTCCAATGGGATGTCAGTTCCCTTTTAAATATTTTGTTGCATATTAGAAATCTGATCGAATTTCGAACTCACTGGGGGAAAACCCTCACCTGTCGTAGGGCATTCAATGCATCCTTTCATCTAACACTGGTGTGCCCCCAGTTTCATCTATCAGACAATTTGTTTTCGCTTGCCCCGACGACAGACTCGTACTCGTACTCGTATACATTCCCCCTATCGCTGAAAATTGAATGAGTGTCGCCGTGTAATAATTCAATTGCCTCTAATTGAGACAAACTCAAAATATTCTCGGATTTTCTCTCTTGCCGCACACAAAACGCCAGAATATCAAGTGCCCAAACGATGCTGATGGCTGCTGATGTACCGATGTTGATACGACTGCTGCGACAATTTGCCAAATGTGTCGCATCAGGTTTCATTACGACAAGAACATGGAATCTGATATCTTTGGGGTTGTTGCCAGTTGGGGGATGGCCGTACTCGAAGCAAAAAGAAAACAGCCAGATGCACGGCGTACTTGGGGGTAGTTGGGGTACTTGGGGTTGACGATGACGACGGCGATCGCTCATGAACCTTGTGTTGACCCATTTCAAAGGCATTTGGCACGATGAATGCATTTGCATATGCACCTTGAAGAGGCTATTAGATTCCATCAGATGTGCCCGCTAATATCTGTGCGAAAATGTTTATGTAAGCAATGAAATCACTCAGATGCAGAGAGACAACACTGGAGGCTACATTTGATTCGATAATGAGCCGATCTTACAGAGCTCTTGATCTATGGCCGCATATCAGTCGGATATAGCAAGCTTAGACAAATCGCTCACATGAAATTAAATTAAATCAGGCTGCTAAAATTCAAGTTGGAACCATGTCCTTTGTGGATCATTCGAATGTGGCAAGTATTTTGGATCCCTATATCTGTTCTCTATTCTTTAACGTGGACCGCTGTAGACCCGCTGTTCTCTGCATACGCCGATGCATAATGCCAGTCAGGTCTGCGAGCTAGCGAGGACTACGTTCACCTGCGGATTGTTTGTGCACTTTGTGGACTACCTGAAGATAGCCTTTTGTGCCTTTCATTTGCCTTCTGTATCAGTCTATGCCTTGCTCAGTTTCCTGCTCTCGTTGGCATTCCTTGGCATGAGCTATATACTGGCTGAATACTTGTGGGTATACTTGGTATAGCTTTGGTGACTATTCGTTCTTTTCTGTTTCCTGTAGCTTCATGCCAAATTTTGTGACCCTCATGGATATCTTTCCTTTGACAAACTTTGGGTTCAGCTACTTGTTCTTTGGGATATGTTTCTTTATGCCGTATTACTTGAGTGTTTGGAGGAGTTGCGTGGCCAAGGCGGAGCATCTGAGTGCTCTGCAATTTTCCCGAATGACGGGGGATTTAATGAGACATTTTGTTATTGGCGTCATGGTCTTGTGCATCCGTGGGCAGCGAGTGGACGGGGTTACCATCTGGTCGAGCATGGTTTTTATATTGCTGGGCTTTGGTTACCTGATCACTGTGGCCGGCAAGAAGTACGATATCTATCATCGGCACGATAGCATTAATCAGGATATGTATCTGATCAAATTTCGGGTGATTACATTCGTATTTGTATTTTCGATGGTTTTAGTTGTGGTTTTTGTCGTCTCCCACACTAACTTCTGGCGCAATAGTCCCCCTGAAGACAACGAACCGGAGGATTTCTCTAATTTGGAGAGTGATGCTGAAGTCCTGGGGAGATATCCAAAGCGGCGAAAGCTGAAAAGTTGCGGAATTTGGTGGCGAACGGTCAATGGCTATGCGAATATGAAGAGTTCCCAAAGGTGTTTAGGAATTCTACTGGTGCGTATGATTAGATCTCTTCTATATTTTCTATAATATATATTTTCCTGATCCCTCCCAGATACCCTTTTACTTTCTGGCTGCTCATGTGATTCCTGTTCTAACAGTTAAGCGCCCATTGATGGGCTGGAATAAGTATGTGAACTGCATAGGTCTTGTGGCCTTTCCGTTCCTGTACATTCCAGTGGGCATTGGGCCTGTGGCCTGGCTCCTGTTGGTCTTCATCTGTTGGGTGACCTCTTTTCTGGTCTTCATCTCAACACACTCCCTGAGGCAGCCAGACTACGTCTGGCCCTATGCCCTGCTCGGGCTGATCATCAGCTCGCTGGCCATGAGATATTTGATCCGAGAGGTCGAGAATCTCACCTGGCAGTATGTCAGCTTTCAGTTTGATGTGATGCCTGATCTGTTGGCCCTGATGTTCTTCGGCTCGGGTGAGATGTTCTGCGAGGTAATCATTGTGTGGCACCTGATCCAAAGGAAGTTGTTGGATGCTGCCTGTGGAGTGGTCATGAGCATGGTCACCTATGGCATATTCTTGGCTTTCCCACTGCTGCTCTGGCATGGCTGCTATAATAGAATTTCTCACGTGAGCATAATATATTATTTTTTACTGATTTTCATTAGTTGTGATGTGAAATTTTGCATTTTAGATCATTGTAACAGGTCCCACAGAGACCTGCATTAACTTTCTTTTTCTCATATTTGGCTTCAGTCTTTTTCATGTATCAATGAGCGGATACGAGTTTCGCATGTCACTGTTCTTCTATTTGCTGGCTGTGACTATTATTTACTTGATATTTCAGTGGATGACCTACTACAGTTGGGTGCATTCCTTTGCCACGCTGTATAACATCTAAACAAATTTATTGAGAAATAAATTAAAGGATTAAATTAAATTTCAGTAAAATTATTATAAATGGATAGAAAATCTCAGTTATTAATAAAAATAGAAAGTGCAATTGCCCCTTGGAAAACTGGTGCATAATTGTGAATATTCAAACACAGGGTTAATTTCGTTTCTTGCACATATTTCTCATTCGCTTTTCTCAGTGGATATTCCGACAGCCAATAAGATAACCCCAACACGTCCGAAATCGACACAATTTAGAGCGTATGCATTAAAACTTTAATACGCTTTTCCTCCAATAATTTCTCTTCAGAGCTCTAATAATTATATGTAACAATTTTTTTCATATTGAGTCTCGTAGCTATAGCTCCATCCCTCACGTTCAATGTGAGCTATTTTTAAGTATTTGTTAGCGTTGTATAAATAAATAAAAATTTCCTCATAAACATTTTGAGCTCAGAATTCCCCGAAAATATTTTATTCATCTATTTTGATGCCATTATTTTGCTGGAAAATCAATGTGGACTATTAAGTCTTATTCATGGACAACTTGCTTTGCATTAGGCCAACTTAATCGTCATAAATTTTCATGGTCTATTGATTGCTGGCCAGCGAGAGAGAGAGAGAGAGAGAAAGAGACACCATTAAAACTTAATACTGAAGCAGTACTGTCCTTTGATCTCCCTCTCCCAACCACTCAAGAGCCAGATCTCAAGCCAGAAACACGCACTTACTCCATTTACAACGTTTAGGCCATTTTGAGAGTCATTTATAATGAAATGTAGATGTTGAATCGCCTTCGGGCGTGGGGGTCCGCACCAAATAAGTCGTATGTCATCTATAAAAGCAAAAATTAGTTCGTGGAGACAAACAGAACGGAACCAACCGGACTAAAGAAAACTTATAAAATATTTACGAGCTCAAGTGAGCGTAGAGGAAAACAATCCCTGGACGGGGACTGGGAGCTGGCTGAGCTCTGGCTGGATATTCGAGACGAGGTGGTGCGACTCCAAGTCCGAGCGGGTATCCGGGTGAATGAAAGGAGGGCATAAAAAGTAACTACTTTGTGGCTTATGTGTGAAGTGCTTGAGGATGCGAAGCCCTGGAACACCTCACCCGAAAAATATTGTTTGCACGAGTGTCGGGACAAAAACAAAAGCCCAGCCAGTCAGGCACGTGTGTGTGTGTGTGTGTGTGTATGCGTGTTGTGATTGTGTAATAAAAAATATCCAGCTGACATTTTGTGTCAAGCACCTTTTTCATTTTGGCACTCGGCATAGCATGACCAGGTCCGCAACCCAATGGTAAAGCGCTGTCTGGAAGGAATCCTGTATGATTCCAGGGGGTGGCCCTGTCCTGACGCTGGCTGCTTGAGTGATGACAAATTACATTTGTCAGATTTATGACCAATTATGAGCGTGTTATATATCACACCGCTAAAGGCAAAGGCAATGGGCAAATGGCAGCGTGAGCCACCTTAATGGCAAGCGCAATGAATAAGTCGCCGTCGTTTGTTTGCGGTCTACAGAACATCCATATAGCATCCTCTTGCAAGAGAAGAAGCCAATACGAAGCCTGTGATACCCTGGCTTCTTGGATTTTTTAGCTTTATTAACGGATTATTTATTTATAATTATTTCTTTATTTTTTAAGGAATTTTCTCAAACCCAAAAGAGATCCTCTTACCGATTCTTTATATGGAAGGGTATGTTTCAACTGGCTGGACTTTTTTCCGTAGCAGCACATAGAGAAACGACTGTTGATTCCTCTAAAGAATACATATACTCTTTACCATCGCGAATGTTTACTTTTTTTCTTGCTGTACAAACTTCCAACCAAAACCACAACACCCCATTCATAGTGTATAATTGTGTGTATGCTGGTATATGCCCTGGTAATGCCAGCACGTTTATAATGCTTTTGTACAATATCGCATTTCGCACATTTTCTCGCGCCCATTTCTTCTATCCGAGTAGCCCCTCTGCTCATCAGAATTCTGTCGTATTTTTTCTTATTTTGAGAAATGTTTGGGATTTCTTTTCGTTGTATTTTTTGATTTTTTTTTTTCGGGTGCACACGCATGAGTTCCAAGAGAAATGGGCACAAACATATCGCGTGTCTTTATTTCTACACTTTCGGCCTGGAATATTTATGCTGTTAATGCGTTGCAAATGGCTAAAAATCGCTTTTATTACACGCGCAGTTAAACTTCAATTACGGCTCTAATCATAATGCATGCCAGCGAGTATGCAGCGAGGGTCGCTAGCCAACTAATGGCTGCATAAATAACCAGCTAACTGTGGGTCAACATTTGGATTAACTGTGCACGAGCCAGAGAAGAGTGGAGTGGAGAATTCGTAGGGAACTAATGGGTAATGAGAAAGGATAATGGATGCTGTGATAATGTGCTTCAGTGATTAAAATTGTATAATGTAGGCTGTAAGCAGAAAATTTAAAATAATCATAATCGTTCGTCAGAAGTTTTATATTAATTTAATTTAATTTAATTTAATTTTCCAAAGTATACTTTCAGGCACAAATAAATATTTCATATTTAAATTTATTCTAAATTAAATTTTGATATTTTATCCAAGTAAAACTCCTCAGTCGGCTCTCGTTCGAAATCATTGCCACATTTCGCTGTGACAAAATACAGAAGGCGCAAAGAAATATGCAAAAATGTGAAAACTGCCATAAAATACGCGCCCAAGTGCGCAAATTAAAATCGAAAACCATAAATTATCAAAAACACCAAACAGAAGAGAAAATAAAAAAAAAAAACAGAAAAACCAAAAATAAAGGGAATGTGTAGGCGTACGGCAGTGGGGGCGGAACAGCAGCTGGATGGCAACACCGAAGGTAAAACACACAAAACGAGGAGCAAGCGAACACAAAATCATTTTATGCCTCACTTTACAATTCAATCAGTTTCAATTTCCACCTGCCGAATACATTTCCGTTTTACAGTTTATTTCGGTGAGCGGCTGTTTGTAATTTTTTAATTTCAGCTCGAATTTCAAAATTCAATTAGTTTTTGGCACACACAAATACACAAACGCACACTCACACACACCAATGCATACAGATGTATATACAGACAGGAAGGAAGAGAAGCATAAAGCAGTCGGTCCACAGATCCTGTAAAAGATGGCGGCATGGGCCTGCAGACCGCAGATGTCCGCCAGAGTCTGGCTGTGGGACTGTCTGCTGGCATTGTTGGTTTCACTTTTTAGATTTATGCTTTTAGATTTTAATGAAAAGCCACATTTATGTAGATGCCGGGCTCCCGCTCCTCAGCCAAAATCCAAACCAAAAGATACAAGGGCCGCTCTCTGGCAGCCAGAGCGGAAAACATGCAAATTTTGTGATTCGGTGGGGAGGCAGGCTAGGCCAATTTTAGGTCCATAATTCACGCCGCAACGTGAAAGAAATTAGTTCAGGCCACAGAGTCTCATCCTCTTCGTTATCGAAAGTGAAAATCAAAAACTTGATTTGTGGCCAACAAAGTAAAAAAAGCATACGAAATTTCGACTGCCTCAACAGTGCCAAGACAAACAGCAGACAAAATTAATTGGAATGGTTCCTTTCTACTTGAAAAATGTTTCACTTGTTTCTCTAGCAAAACACTTGTAAGCATTCCCGCACAGCATTTCCACACGTATGTAAGTCCATTCATTTGCATCAATAATACGGATAATTCACTCGATCGATTCGCACTTGAAGAGCATGCGGCTGGCTGCCAATTAGGAGAAAAATTACAACAACAAAAAACCCATAGGGCTCAGTGTGTTCCATTTTTTATCAGCACGCAAAAAAGCTGCAGTATCTAGGGTCCGCCAGTTGCCTGTCCATCTATCTATCGACGAGTATCTATTTGAGGCAAACAGGCACGCAAACTGCTGCTGTTGGCAACGCGTGCGTGGCAGCAACAGCAACAAAAACAACAACAGCCTTCTTGCAAAAGCAATTGGATGAGCGTAAGCCTCTAGCAGCTTGTAGGCAGTGGCAAATAAACCGTCAAGGATGTGCCACACCCACAAACGCACACACACACCGGCCAAAAGCTCTGTACAAAAAGTGTAGCAAACAACTAGGGACGGCGCCATCAGCAACATCTGCTGCCGTTGCTTCCACTGCTGCATGGCAACTGCACATTACCGTTTTGTAGTTTTTCATGCATTCATTTTGATAGTTAGCCAGGCGGCAGCTCACTGAAAATATTGCCCCGGCAAAGGACAGCGCACAGAAGTGAGCTTGGCACTACAGGACCCTGCGGCACAGTGGTGCAAGTGAATGACAGCGAAGATATTCGTGTATTCGGTATTGTTAAAGGCAACCAACGATTAATTTTGATAGCATTTTAAAATATTTCAGAAATATATCCAAATTTAAATAAATGGATAAATGGATGGTAAGTCTTTATAGTCATCTAAACGCAAGACACAGAAGAACAAATGTTCTTTCTCATAGCCCCAGATATCTGTAGCTCATCGAGAAACAACATTTCTACCTGTTCTCTTCGTTTCATAAATTTACATATGTTTATTTTTTTTGTTGAAGCTCCCTTTGTATCCGTTTGTCTGTATTTGTAACGTGGATCCTTATCCACTGTGCGAATGTCTGGGGATTGGTTTAACTGATAAACAAGAGCAGGAGGTATCAGGCTTCTTCTCGTTTCCACTCTTTTGGTGGGTCGTGTCTCCTGTTCCGGCCACTGGATGGGCACGCATGTGTGCCCTTTCCTGCCGCCTGCCATGCTGCAACTTGACCCCAGGTCAAATGCAACAAGATGCGGTGCGTTGAGTGCCGTTGCTGCTGCTGCTGCTGTTTCTGCTGTTCCTCCTGCTGCTGCTGTTGCCGTTGCCGTTGCCGTTGCCCTTGTTGCAAATGAAATTTTTCTTCAATTAGTTTATTTTCACACCAATGATTTTGATTTCAGGTCCGATGGAGAGCCAGGGCCCAGTCCCAGTCCCTGGAACCACTCCGGGGTAGCTCCCAGCTCCCAGCCAGATCCCTGTCTGGCCA